AAATTTTTTTGAATTTTATTATTTGTATTGTGTATTTTTTGTTGTTTGTATTTTTTTTGTGATATTGTTGTTTGTTTTTTGTTGTTGTTGATTTGCCTCATGAAGATGCAAATTACTCACTTGAATAATATATTGTTGACTTACCGAAGAAAAACTTAAACAATTGGAGCATCGGAATAAAACTTAAGGAAGAAATAAAAGAGTAGTCTTAGCACCACAGGATTTAACACTAAAAACTCTACACAAATATCTCATCATATCACGAAATATTTGAAAATTGAAGAAGTTTCAAAATTAAATAAGAGGTGTGTGTGGAATTGGCATTTATGTATTTACACATTTTTACGTTCATAATACATATTTTTGTAAATGACATGCACTTATGTATATACAGGATTGTTCACGCCATTCGACACATAGTTTTGTAGCCAAATAATTAGATTTTTAGAAATTGTGAGACAGGGTTTTCTACAATCACGACTTGAGCACAAAAACGAAACTTGCAGTGTACTGAGCAATAATAATCCCTACCATGTTATATGGAAGTAAAACCTGGGTACCGTACCGCCGACACATGAACGGATTAAACAAGTTGCAACAGAGACAACTTAGACAACTCTTAAGAATCAAATAGTTCCACCATGTCTCAAACGTATAGGTCCTTGAAAAAACTTGAAAAAACTAGCTGCGAGAGCGTTGAAGTCATGATTACAAAATCCCGCTTAAGATGGGCTGGTCGCGTATGCAAAATGCAAGAAAACCGCCTACCAAAATCTCTTCTTTACGGTAAGTTTGTAGACGGTAAGAGGAAACCGGGTGGATAACACAAAAGGTACAAGGATATTTTCCACGAAAACTTAAAGAAGATACGCATGCAGAATTAATGGGAAGAAGAAGCGCACAATAGAACGCAATGGAAAAGAATTGTAAACTCAGTTTGTTAATTTTTGGTACAGAAAAAGTAGAGGCATTAAAGCAATGCGATTTTTAAATGTTCGGAAGAGAGATAACATCACGTATCGGGCTTTTTAGTCACAGAAAAGCCTATGAAAGAAAACGCATTGTGTAACAATCTGGTGCGTGTCAAATACTCGTCAGCGAGTAATGGCAGTAGTAGGAGTAAGATTGAGGTACGTGGGCAGTTGCCTGGTTTTGCATTGTTACCTATTCTGATTTAATTTAAAAATAGATCCAGTTTTTCCTTAAATTAATTAAAATCGGCTTATCCAAAATTGTTCAATATATTTTACTTACTTTTACTCTGTTTGTAAACTAAACAGAGGAGCCAATATTTGGACAGTTCAAAATTATCATGTGATACCCGATATACAGGGTGGTCCGAACTGTATTCCGGAAACTTGGGCAAAATATTCTGCAGATAAAAATAAGTAAAAAAGTTCGTATAAACGTATGTCCTAAAATGCTTAGTTTCGGAGATACAGGGTGTAGAAGTTTCATTTTTATTTCGATTTTTTCCAAATAATTTACGAAGTAACGTCAATCTTTGGATGAAAATTGGTGTCTGGGAGTTTTTTGACATGAGAAATTTGATTTTGACGTCAATATGACGCTTACTTGTATAGGGCGCCACCTACATATTTTTTAACTGGTTTGAAGAGTAATAACTGAGTAAAAAAATATACTTCGAGTAATATGCTACAAGTAATAGTTCTTCAGATATTTGGAATCGAAATTATCAATACCTGTCATCACTGACATAATTAAACATGTTGACTAAATAGTTATTAGACCGAAATCATCAATTTGAAATGTTTTTGTGCCAAAAGTTCAACAGAAACTGTTTTATCATCATTTTTTCGCAGAAAAATTTATGATTAATTAAAAAAAAATTCCCGAAATTTATTATTTCGCTCAAATTTTACTCAACGTGTTTATCGTTTGTCAATAATGACATGAATTGACTATTTCCATTCTAAATATCTTGAGAACGGTTAATCGTAGCGATTTTTACCAAGAGACATTTTTTACCTAAAAAGTCACGGAATTGTATATTTTTTCACTCAGTAGTTTTACAGAGATACGGACGAAAAATTATTACTCTTCAAAACCTTTAAAACACATGTAGGTGGCGCCCCCTACAAATAGAAGCCATATTGACATCAAAATCAAATTTCTCATGTGGAAAAACTCCCAGTCACCAATTTTCATCGAAATATTGACCTTCCTTCAGAAAGTATCTGGAAAATATCGAAATAAAAATGAAACTTCTACACTCTGTATCTCCGAAACTAAGCATTTTAGGACATACATTGATACAAACTTTTTTACTTATTTTATTCGCAGAATATGCTGCCGAGGTTTCCGGAATACAGTTCGGACCACCCTGTATATAATGTTCTTTAAATAAAGTATGCCTTTTGATATATAGTTGGCAATGGCTAGAGTAATTTTAGTTTAAGTACTACATAGAAAGCAAGAAATCCAACATAACCGCACACCGCGCCCATTTTAATCAAGCCCAGCAGCTCACCCGCAGTAATCTAGCTAATTCTCTACTTATATATTGCTCTCGGTCACTGCATTTTTCCTATTTACGACGACAACAAAGAAAAATCTCATTGTCTGCCTTCTCCTCCATCTCTCTTTCCATCGCAGGCAACGGTAGCAACGATCCTCCTAATTATATAACTGGTCGAGCGTTCGCGACTGCTACTACTGCACAGTCGAGGGCACAAAAACACGGATAATAATCAAAATAGCTGGGGCCCAGGATTAATGAAACAACTGAGCGTCATTGTCGTTGTCAGTTCGCGCGTCATTAACCCGCTGGTAGATCACAGCCGGCCCTGACCGACTCAATCTCTCTCCGGCAACTGTTTCTTTTATTGGCCTCGGATGAAATTAGTTTTAAAATTAATGGAGCTGATGTTGATTTTTTGCTGATAAATAGTTTTGTTCTAATGTTTGTTTTTATTTTAGACAAAGAACCTAAAATTTAACAAAGTAGGTACCATAAACTGAGGCTATTTTATTCCGATGAAGAGTCATCAGTTTGAATTAGAGCATTCGTTTTGAAGAAAAAGTTATCAAATGTTGTTACTTCTACATAATTTGATAATTGTGTATAGTGTAGCATTAGAAGTTTTTAAAAAAAGTTGGAATGTTTTTTTTTATAAGAAATTTCTTTTGGAAAAATGTTTAAAGCAACTAACACTATGCGACGGAGCTGTTCGCCGGTGAGCAATGGGTCGTAAGCTAGTGAAAATTAAATTGTGATACTTACGTCTTTATAAGATACTGGGCGCCACTCAGTTTTTCATTTACTTTCGAAAACTTCTAAGTTGAAAACTGAGAAATCAACTCAGAATATAGGTATTACTTATTTTAGGAATTACACAAATGAAACGCTGAGATAAACTAATAACTAAGTATAATTAATAATTAAATGTAAAATAGAATAAAATAAGAATATGAAAAAATTTGGTGTTTGAAAATATCTGTTGGTAAATTGTATGTCAGAGTAGATCACTCTTATTAATGGTAGTTTAAATCTGCACGCTTCTGAATAATATTTTACTAATTAATTATTCCACATAAAGTCTGGCGATCTTGTTACCAAAATGTAGGGACTTTTTATATTCAAAAAAATACCGTACTATGTGAATATCAGAAATATGCATAACATATGTAAAATTTATCAAAGTGAATTCTTAAGTAATTAAATATATAATATGCCTGAAGGGCTTAATGAATTAAAATGAATTTAAATTATAGATATAAAATCAAATGATCTGGCCTGTTTTATCCGTTCTGGCCACAAGCTGGTTGTGGCGAACTTCTACCGGAACTGGATTGTGGTATAAGATGTTTCTGGACAGACAGGATCGAACACTTGTGTGGATTCAGGAGATTCCTCCGTTATTCCCGGTGTGAAATGTAGGTACAAACGTGGACCAAATGTTAGGTACAAAAAAAGACAAAATGGCACCATAAAATGCCTTAAAATAAAATTCTGCCGTAAACTAAAACCCTATAGAAAGAAAAGAAAGGTATTAGGAAACGTTACTCAACGTCACGTTTAAAATAAAAGTCTTCGTCAGAGAGTTTTCCCAAACAAATCGGCAAAATACCAACAAACGCCGATAGCTCTATCGGGTTCAGCTTTAGCCACCAATATGGCGATAAAGGTAGGCACGAGGTATATACCAATACCCGTCAGAAATAAAGTGACGAACCAACTTCGACCGGACTGAAAAATCTCGCCAGAAATAAACTTGAAGAAAAAATAAAAGATAATAACAATACTTAGAATGCCATCTCGGTGCGAAGACTTAAACTTGAATTACCTATTTAAATAAAATAATTCTGTCCATTTATATTAATTATGTGAATTTTAAATAAAATGCTACAATAGCAAGCATTATAATAAACTTAATACTGTACCTGGGTACCAATATCCTCTGGTTGTGTGCTAGGAAGTAAATTTTCATGCATATTTTCATCGATAGCTTCTGAATCTATAGGTCTAGGTAAAGCATTTAGCTCATTTGCTAGCTCAGAATTAGAATTATTAGAGTTAAGCAACTCGCATTTTCATTGAGGGACATTGTCATTTGTCATATACAAAGTGACTGTCATATACAGATTGATAAAAAATACAAATCGTTGCGTCGGTTAGGTTCAAAATGTTTTCTCTTCTTAAATAAATTTAAGCGTTAACATTATTAGGCATTTGCTTAAAAGAGTGTGTTTTGAGTGGTATTCCAGAACATTTGTAGGCAATTGAGGAAACTGTACAAGAAAATGTACAGATTACAGGAACAAATTGAAAACAAGTGCACATAGTGCATACATATTTTTACTAGAAAAGATATAATAAATGATATAATTTTTGTCTTTACATATAGCAGCAAAATAAAATGTTAGTAGTTTTAATCATCTGCTGATTTTGATAAGCAAAGAAAAAAAGACAGAAAAAGAACCAAAGGTGTACTGGGTCTAATAACAGGGCATTATAAGCTGAATTGACATCAAAGCTGATGGGGTTGACGGACGAAGCTATGTGTAGGTTCTGTCAATATGAAGAATTAACGACAGATTTTATGTCGGTGCGACAGCCAGGAAAATGTAAGTTTCTTTGTACTAGACAATAATAAAGGGGGGGGGGGCATTGACAAAGCTGTTTGGAAGGTTCAGTCTCCAAGTTGCTAGACTTTGTAAAAAGGATAGGACTGGAGAATGCAACTAAGGATCAGAAGAGGACTATAATAGGTCTCGTGAAATGTTTGTTCTCGACTAGACAAATTTATTTTACCTGTAAAAGACCACAAAAAATACCTTTTCTTTTTTTAGGTTTTCATTTCATAGGGGCGAAATACCCAGACCCAGGTTTATATCTAGACTGTTTTCATTTAATTAGGTTAGAACCGAAAAAAAACTCAACAGTATGTCTTTGTTTTAAAGTAGTCTACGTTTCGCAGCAATTTATTATTACGCAAATGTATTTGCATCTTCAGGACACTACAAGTTAAGAGATCCGAGGTAATCACTCTGCTGCATCGTTTGAAAAACAATTTTGTGATATTTTTGTATATGGATGTTTAATGAGCACTCTCAAGAGATAGCAGTCTACACAGATGCTTCCGCAAGTGGCAGATGACCCATTACTTGTGACGATCAACACACTGAAGGAAGCTATAGGAACTACCATCAAGGCCAAGCAGCTAGAGACGTGGCAACACCATAAGGATTACGCTACAGCTCGAAAACTATGGCCAGTGGTAGATAGCAAAAAGACAAAACAACTACTAGAGCACAAAAAAAACCTAGGACGCATAATTGTAGATGTCGTCACTGGAACCTGATCCACGGGGGCAAACCTCGTGAGATGGAAGATATCATCTCGATATCATCTCGATTCAACGACGACTACTGCGGAGAATGCGGGGAGGAAGAAGAAACCATAGGGCACCTGCTGTGCCACTGTCCGGCAATGGAATACCGACGCTTTAAAACTTTAGGGCAAGGTTTTTTGGAGGGACTAGAGGAAGTAGCAGAAGCCAACATCAGCGACATCGGGAACTTTGCAAAGAGCTGGAAGTGCTTTATCGTAAAGAAAGAATGAGAGGAAGGTTTGGCACAACAATACAGGGGTATAGCAATGGGCACAAGGCCTCCGAGTGAAGGATCAAACATGATCCCAAATCCCAGCAACCTAACATAACCTAACATAGATTTTTTTTACTTTTGATGAAGCGCAGAAATGTACCCCCGAAACGTTAAATAATGTTTGTCTATTAAGCAACTTCTTCTACAAGTAAAAATAAATGGTCATTTAAGTATTTGGGTTCGTGGTTTCTAAACTGAGTAGCATTTTATAATAAACTACCAAACATATTTTTTGTAGTTGTATATCTATCAGTGACAAATTATTTATCATTTTTAGTTATCAAGCATATATCTCGTGTCAGTTAAAATTAGATAATTATTTCAACATCTGCCATCTTTTAGTATTAGATCAACTTTATAGACCTTATACCATTTATCACAGTTAAGCTAATCACTAAAACCTCTTGTTTCAATTTAAAATCTATAGGTTCTACTAAGTATTTCTTTCCCACAAGTTAGAAAATGAACCAAACCGCAAATAAAAAAATTACACCCGTTTAAAAAATACTTAAAGAACACACCGCAATCACCTAATCTACCACTATGATCGAAACGTAAAAAACGGGAGAGAGTCTTTATTTGTTATGGGTGATGCGGGAGCTGAACGGATCGTTAGTTAAGTTTACGACGTGAAGCTGCCAGCTGAAAAAACAACATGAAACAATTATACCGATTAATATAAATGAACGTGAACAAAATTTAATATAGCCGTTGCTGTGCTCTTTAAAACAGAAAAGTTGATTCAATTTTTGAGATGGTTCAGATACTATTAATTGGAAACAACTGCATCAATTTTCAATACAATAATAGTTATGTATGATATAAGTGCTAAAAGTGGTATTTTATTTTGTGAGAAGGGAAGCTTCGGCGTCGTATCCCATCCCTTCGAACAAAATAAAATCACTTTTAGCACACATATCATACACTATTTTTTCTACAAACAAGTTTATGCTCCTATATATCAAGGTATTATTACTTTTGCGTTAATGAATAATTCATAATATTATGTCATTCTCAAATCAAATTAATTATGAAGTTTATTGTTGCTAGGGTAATTGAAAGATTCCAAACATTCGATCATTTGTTGTCAACTAATGTCAAATTTGTGCCTCAACTCTTGTAAAATGATGGAAAGTGATGAAGAGACTGAGTGTTTCCCAGCAGAAATTGAAGAAGCCGCTAATAGATTTACTTTTGATTTATTACCCAGCAAGTCCAAGGATCAATACAAGTTTTCATATAATCGACATGGAATTCCAATTGTAATTTCACTAATTGTATATTTAATTTGAGTAAATAATTATTTTTTCTACAAACGTTAGTAAAAATGTAATTTTTAACGCATGCTGGCAGTGCCTAAAATGTAACATTATGTCACTGATGGTAAAAGTCATTTACTTTTAGCACTGGTCCTAAAAGTAAGTCACGTGGTTTAGTGCTAAAAGTAAATGACTTTTACCATCAGTGACATAATGTCACATTTTAGGCACTGACAGCATGTGTTAAAAAATACATTTTTACTGACGTTTGTAGAAAAAATATATTTTCTTATTAGTTAATTTAAAATCTAAATCTAAATACAACTTTTCAAGAACGCTTTAGCTTTTAGCATGTACGTGTATTATATACCGTTGATGTTCACAGAAATCTAAGAAACATATTTTTTTGTGTGAAATCCAGCTTGTTAATGGCCTTTTTTTGCATCAGAACCATGTGTCCTGAGCATTTTGTTTTCTGACTCATGTCGACACATGCCCTGGGCCCAAATTCTGTAACTTTGACATAAAAACGTTACGCTTTCAAAGCGGTGAGCGAAAGTATGCGATTAGCGGAACGCCAAGCAGTTTTTTTTTGGTATTCCCGCTGCCGTGCGAATCGTTTTCTGGATACGCGTTGAGCACATTTTGACAGCATCGCAATTTCGTAGGTATCTAATAGTCAAATGTGAATAAAACAATGAAAAATGTTAATGTTACGTGAATTTCATAACCTATTGTTGAGTTATGTCAACCTATTTTTCTTCATCTGATGATAATGTTTTTTTTTTATGATTCTGCTAATATAACTATGGGAGACTCGAAACGTGAAAGCTAAGGAACGTAATGCCTCACCGGTTGCCAAAAATCTAAAAAATATATTTATTATGAAAAAAAAATCAATAACAAAATTTTAATTATAATATTATTTTATTATTATATTATTTTACAATTTTAGTGGACGACTGCAAAAAACGTTGGAAAAATATTAAGGATACCTACAATAGAAGAAGAAAAAAAAAGAAAAGCACAGGTTCTGCTGCATTGCCCAAACAGGCGAAATGGGCTTTAGCAGACATGTTGTCCTTCCTGGACCAAACCGAGCACAAACGCCCGTGAGTTCTTGTTCAAAAAGTACTCTAAATATAATATACGATTGTTATTTTTTTTTTTCTTGATAGAAGTACATCTCTCGGAACTGACCAACACGAGGAGAATGACATGATGAGTGAGGAAGACAGGCAAAATGATACTGAGTCAGGGGAAGTGTCCTGACAGACATTAACCCAGCTCGAAATACGGTAGCGGGTGCAATAAAAAAACAGTTTTCCAAATCAAGTCGCGACAGAAAAGAGAGGATAAATGACGACATTATCGCTACAATAAAAGAAAGAAGTGCTGAAAGAAATGAAATATTTAAAAAAATTGGTCCAAGCAAACCAGATTCTCTGGATTTGTTTTTCCAGAGTATTGCAGCTTCAGTAAAGGCATTGAGACCTGAGTTAATCAATGAAGCTAAATTGAGAACAGTGCACCTGGTATTCGAACTAGAACAGAGAAATGCTGGTGAAGTCCATCCCCAGCACCTCGTTATGAACCTCAGCCATACTCAGGACATCGTCTTGAACCTCAGCCATACTCCGGACCTCGTCATGAGCCTCAGCCATACTCAGGACCTCGTCATGAATCTCAGCCATCCCCAGCACCTCGTCATGAAACTCAGCCACACTTAGGACCTCGTCATGATGAACCTCAACCATACTCAGCACCTCGTCATAAATCTCAACCATACTCAGGTTCTCATCCTGGATCAAGTCAGCAACAAAATACTTTTGAACTTACACCAGGCCCAGCAACCCCTTGTGCAACGAGTTCAGGCAATTTACGTACGACTTACAATTCGCCGTCATCAGAAGATTACTTATTAGATCTAGATAACTTTTAACCAAATAACTATATTTTATTACTTTGTTGAGTATATTTGCTCATTACTTTTTTGAAACTTGTGTTTATTTTGTTCTTATTTAGTTTTTTCTTTGAGTTTAATAATAATAAATATTTCATTGACACGTTAGGCATTTTATTTAAACTTAGTGACTTAATGACCATAGATAAAAGAAAATAATCTACTATTAATGGCTCGGTTTTTATATCTTCTTTTATTAAGTCGATAAGAAAATTAAATTGTGCTTTATTGAACCTGAAATATTCTCTAAATTTTACATCATCATGTTGCAGATGCCGATTTATCAATGTAGTATAACATCCTTCATCCCGTCTTTGTTTAAATATTGGATTTACAGGGGCAATTCCATTTTTTAGATTGGCTAATTATAATAATATTTCTTCATCCTCCTCTTCTTCTAGTAATAAGTACAATGTGAGATGATCCATCACGACTTTCACCAAAGATAGTTGTCTTTATACTGATCAAAGTCAAGTCGCGAGCTTGAATCGCGACGCGATACGAAGCTAAGAAACCACTCGATTCAACGGCCATCGCAGGTGACAGTCGCGCTGCAGCTGCCTCATGCGACGGCCGCGTGAAATGAACCATACCTTAAGAGTCAAATGTGAATAAAACTTTGGAATAAAACAATGAAAAATGTCATGTTACGTGAATTTCATAACCCATTGTTGAGTTATATGTCAATCTATTTTTCTATGGATATATATTTTTATAATTATTATTCTTATTATACGAGGGAAATGTTGAAAACGCTTTTTAGCATTTTCGATATTTTGAACAATATTTATAGCTGTCGTAAATTATCAATTACTTATTGAGGAATTTATAGAAGAAATAGTAATTTTCATTAAAGAGCAAGAAAACGCACAAAATCACAATTTTTTCGATTTGTTTCCGACAGTTCGACAAGCAAAACGATCCTTTAAGGCAACCGTTTTCAAAGCGCTTAGCGCAATCAGTAAAGAAGCCAAGCGCGTCAGATGAGAATACCCAAATCGGTAGTTAAGTGCGCGTTCAGTGTAAATTAACGTCATATACGCTGAGCATCTAAAAGCGCTTAGCGTTTTCTAAGTTACAGAATTCGGGCCCTGGTTAATTTTTAAAAACGAAATAAACTAGCTACCAACAATTTGCAACTTTTTCATCTATCATTACTTTATGATGTGATTTTTTAATCTCACGAGGTGGCTTTGGTGATTATCATCTTAATGTCATATCGACATTTATCAGAATTCTCTATTCAAATTTAAAAAACGTTAAAAAGTAACGATACTGGCTTGGTTTAAATATATAATAATAACTCTAACAGAACTAAGGACATTAAAACATAACTGTAATAACTAAGTATACAAATATACTAAAAACTTGTAAAAAATACTCTGATACTTTGTATTGCCTTCCCCGGGTGCTATCAATATCTGTAGGCGTCGTCGGTTCATACTGTTAATGAGGCTGCAAATATATTGTGTTATGTTTTCCCATTCCTCTTCAAGAACCAAGCGAATATTCATAATTTCGGCCATCTTGAACAAAATCATTGATTTTTGGACAATCTCCGACACTAAGAACCATATTCAATCGTACACAACAATAATCACCAAAGAGGTAGCTTTGGTGATTATTATCATTATGAAGAATAATTGAAAAAATTGACGCCGGGAGGCACGTATAGCCGCCCATACTAAAATATGTTAATATCTCGAAAACTGCGACTTTGACTGATTTTGATGTTATTACAAATTTTGTTGCAAATATTATTCCTAATCTTAATTTGAAAACTTGTGTAATTTTGGAGTTACGAATTTTAAAAAATTTTAACACACTCCCATACCCCCTTACCAACCCCCCACCCCCACCGAAAACTAATGGCCAGATTCTCGGGTGCCACAGTATTTTTGTGCCAAATTTGGTTAAAATTGGTTCAGCGGTTTTTGAGTTATCGTGTTACACCTGTTTTTGAATAATTTTTAACTAGTTAAAAGTTGCAATATAAAATTAATAAATTTGGAAATATCCTTAGGGTGGTCTACGAATTTTTTTTTTCGAAAAAAAAATTGTATTTTTCGATTTTTTTTTTAATTTGTTTGGTAAAAAACATAATATCTTGTTAATATGGCAACATAGGTATTAGATTAAATTTAGAGGAACGAAATTACAGAAAAAATACAGTGGTTTTTAACATTTCAGCATAATATTTTATTTTTCAAATTTTGAAAGTAAAATATCTCCACTTATTTGAGAAACGACAAAGAGAAAATATATTTTTTTTACCGAGATCTACAAGCCCTGAAAATATTTGCATTTTTAATGCTCACACTGTAGGTATACATACATATCTCAAAACCCTTACTCTACACTTACATACTTAGTTAACGACAGTAATTTTATCTTAATCAGTAACTTGACCAAAATGGACAATTTTCTCCACTATTTGTAAGAAAAAAGTTTAAAATTGACTGTTTTTGGCTTTTTACATTTTTTTTAGATATTTCACAGTTTAAATTCTCTGGTATTGCAAAAAAATTATTTGTCGAACCCTTGTTTTGAAAGTATTTTTCTGGTGGATAATTATTATTCTTTGCTTACATACATCTAGTCACATACTCATAAATCCAAAACTGGCATATTTTCATACGGACAGACAGACGGACAGACACCATGAAAATATTTTGTATTTAGGTCATTTATGACCCAAATGTTTTTTTGTATCTAAGTGTATTAAAATCAGTGTTGGCATGATTTAAATCAAATAATTTAAATCATGATTTAAATCGTGATTTAAATCAAGTGATTTTTTTAATTTTAATCATGTGATTTAAATAAAAAAAAATAATTTTATTGAAACTTTATAATAAATCAAAAAATAACTGTAAAAGTTATAAAAATGTCTCCTAGAAAACTATATACATTTTCTATATCTCATGTAGCAGATAATAAATCGAAAAATAATTGTAAACGTTATAAAACTATATAAAAATATATATTCATCAATTTAATTGTTGGACCGATTTTTGAACTAATTTCGTGTGAATCCATTAGACCACTAAACACAAGGATTTATTTTAAAATTTCTGTATAAGTGACAAAAATTCGCTGTTCAAATACATATCATTCGCAAAGTCTAGTGCAGAAGTAGGTTCTTCTAATATAGAGATTATATCTTTATTCCCGAGAATCTATACTTGTTGTCAGAAAATATGTTGTTTTATTTTTTTTTTGAAACGGTTGTATCTTTCCAAATTCCTACCGACATTTTGATTTTTGATTTTGGAGTAAGTACTCACTTTGATATTAGATAATACATACTAATTTCATTCTCGACTTAAGACTATTTCCGAACAATAGTGTATTGTTTTATTAGGAATAAAAATTATACTTTTTTTGACGATGCTGTACCTTGGAAGGACCATCGTAAAGCTATTCCAACGTTACAGGGAGGCACAAAAAATACATTTTTATTCCGAATAGAACATACTAATTTTTTTAAACATTACAAATAATTTTTTAATCAATTTCAAACATTGCAAATAATATAAACAGTAATCGAACACCGATTTGTACACTCGTTGAATTCGACACTTAATATCAGTTTAATAATATATTTTTGCACTTTTGTGCTTAGGCGTAACAGTGCTTTACTTTTATGCCTAGGCGTTGAAATGACAAAAAATTAATAAGCCTTTTGATCTGAAGCGAACGACTTTTCTTTGCGGAATATATTGTTGGAATATAAGTGGAAAAATCACACGCCCCCTAGAATTGTTAATGTTAATCTAGATAGATTTAGCCATTTAGGATAGGACTTTAATTGGAAATATGTCCTAGTTATTTGCAAATCCGATTTAAATATTGTTTTGAATAAAAATCAAAAAAATCTGATTTAAATCAAAAAAATCTTTTTTTTTTTTAAATCATGATTTTTTTCCAACCCTGATTTAAATCCATAAATAGACGTAATGAAGAAAAAAAAATGTCTCTAATACTAGCCTTAATAAAGTCCTAAGGAGCTTAAGAGCCTCTAAAGCCTTAAGAGTCTATTACGCTGTACTTTCGGGTCGCTCCCAAGGATCGGGTAAAGCGGGTGTGTAGCCTAAGGAAATTTATATTATATTTCAGAAATCTGCCTAAGGCTTAGCTCGATCCTGTCGTGTTAAGCTACACCCAAAATTCCAAACACACGTACTTTGATAAAGTCTTGATTAAGGTTTGCCCATCTTCAGCATTTGCCATAAAATAGCAAGCAATTTGTTACAAAACCATATAAATTTTATATCACTGTAATCAAAAAACTTCAATCTATTTCCGTATTGTAATGGAATTTTAAATTATGTCTTTATTTTCGAGAAAATTTAGTCCAAACATAAGGAATATTTTGTTGATGTTTGACCATCAAAATCTTAAAAATAAAGAAGTTGTCTAAAAACGTGCTACAATACGGATATAGTATAATCCTTTATCTTATCTGGTTGAAACAAATCTCACGATATCTCAACAAGGGGGGAGGGGGGTCAAAAAATTAATGGATAATCTTTTAATGCTAGAAGTCTCTTAATGGAACATTTCTTCCATAACAATTCGCCTTTTACCCCAGTCAAAATAAACAAAAAAGGGGGTTAAATAACAATAATTCGCATAGAGCTGAAAATTGGTACAGGACTTAAATACACTATTATAAGTGATATCTGAAAAGTCCCTACCGCTCCCACGTCTGCTAAAAAAATTATTTAATGTCAAAGGTCAAAAATATGTTTTTTTGCTTTTTTT